GAAGACTTTCTAAGATTTTTATTGAAATACCATCATCGGCAGCAGATTTTTTATTTTTTATTGCCTCAATCGTTTCTAGGACTTCTACTGGGGTGGTGTGTGAGAAGTTATTAAAGAATTCTGGTATTTCGATGTGTGAGAGGTAATTTACAGGGTCAGTAGTCGGCCGTAAATCCGACGTAAGTGTGTTTGCAACCGTGCAATAATAGTTATTTAAAATATTTTTGTCAATTTTTATTTCAGATGATTTATTTACACGGCCAGTTAACTCATTGACAATGGCCCAGGATTCTTTTTGTTTATTACTTGAGTTGTGTAAACGCCTGGAGTAATATAGCTTTTTAGCTGCACGTATAACTGCTTTATAAGTTTTTCTGTAATGAGAGTAATATGACTGTAATATGTTATTATCACAATATGTTTTCCTTAGGGTATTCAAGAATCTTAAGTTAGAAGCAGACATACGGATGCCAGCCGTTAACCATTTCTTGCGGTCCTTACGTTTTGGTTTAATATTTGTAACAGGAAACGCTTTGTTAACTAATCCTGCCAAGCAATCATTAAATGCTCCCAAAGAATCACTTTCTTGAAGAAGTGAATTCCAGTTAAAAACCTCACAAACTTGGCGAAATTTTTCAAAATTATTGTTACTATATATTCTACCCTTTCTTTTTACTTTATTTAAAACACAATTTAAAGGAATATCAGCCAAGATTGCCCTATGATCAGACAAGTCAGGATCCCAAACATGACAGGGAACGTCCTCTTGTGTGTTGGATGCAATATAGTCAATAGTGGTTGAAGAGGATTCCGTTACACGAGTAGAACAATGCACATGCATAGTCAGAGAAAAAGATTCAAGCAGTTCAGATAGTTTAATAGTGCATCTGTTATCTTTATCCTCGAAGTCAATATTGAGGTCACCCGCAAGAATTATTTTATGATTTATAGGAAGCTTAGAGAGAAGTACTTCAAGTATTTCCAAAAATAAGTTTAAATTGCCGTTAGAAGAACGATATATGCAAATAATAAAACACTGATTTATTAGAAAAAATAATAGAGAACTCAAACTGTTTCTCAATAAGCAAACCATTTAATTTTTCATAAGGTTCAAAATCCCCGTCAAAGTTCTCATGCACTAAAGCTACAGTTCCACCATGGACAGAATCAGACCTACAAAATTTAGAGACTACACAATACCCCGGCACAAAAAGGGGTGAATTTCGATTTGCATCTTTGTGAAAAATAGTGTTTATGCAGCATGCTGCAATATTCTACAACAATAATAAATGATCATATTGAATAAAATCTCGGAATACTATTCTTAGCAGTTAGTTTACGCACAGTATATTATTGCATTAAGTATGAGTATGTTTTTCCAGAAATTAAAATTGTATTTATTCAGCCTAATATCTATTCAGTTATACTTTATCACCTAATAGAAATTTCTTTGTTGTTTTCCCATGTTCTAAAAATACATTGTACAGTATTATCATTTATTGGTATTATCAACATTGAGTCATTGTGACAAATCCTTTGTTTTACTATTGTAATGGGATGCGTTTAGGTTGAACCACAATAATAATTTGATTTTGACGAATGACCATAAATAACAAATATTATGCAAATCTTCATTCAAATTTATATTTTAAACCACAGGGGCAGGTTTTCTTTACAAGCTGTATGTCTATAGGCAGGCCACCAGTACTTGTTGGGGGTGAAATCAATCAATTAATGAATTAAACTAATTAATGAAATTATGGAGCATGAAATTCTCTAAAACTTAAATTTTTGTAGTATTTTCGGCCTATAAAGACGAGTTGAAAATGAAAAGTTCTGCCACAAGCTTCTCAAATGCCTAGCACAATCTTTCATAAAAAAATGCTTGGTTACCCATCTGGAACAGCAGTAGGTTTAGGTTTAGGTTTTTTAATAGGTCGACATCCTCGATTTGACGTAATGACATCTCAATCTCAATCTCAATAAGCTTTATTGTCTCAAAATACACATATTTCATTGACAAAGCAATTCTTATTACTAATAGGTAAGCAATTAAACTTTAAAATCATGCAATACTTAAGTAGACTAAACAAATAAAATAAAATAAAATAAAATAAAATAAAATAACTTAAAATAAAATAAAATAGAATAAAATAGCAAGTTCCCAAAAACAAATTAGAAACCCACATAGTGGCTGAAACCTTAAAGAAAGTATAGAACAAAAAATACCACATTTAAGATCAAGATATGCGCAGTAAAAGTCGATCATTTTATCAAATAAACTCACCACGAACAGTGTTATTAGTTGAAGTTGAAGTTTAAACGAATTATTTTATTTACTAAGTTATTCGGTTAAGATAATATTCCGTCAAGTTATAGAATGCTTTGGTTGCTAAAAATTTTTTAACTGTAGTGCGAAATAATTTGTAATTGTTAATGATTTTTATATCTTGCGGCAAGTGATTAAATATTTTGATGTTTTCATAAATTAATGATTTTTTTGTGAGTGTAGATTTTGGAATTGGCAATGGCAAGTTATTCAGTCTAAAATTATAATTTCTTTCATAAGAATAACCAAAGAATTTTTTGTATACCAAGCAGACTGACTCCAATATAAAAATGCATGACACCGTTAGTATTTCCTCCTGCCTAAACAGGGACCTGCATGATTCTCTGTATCCTTTTTTGCACATACAACGAACAGCTCTTTTCTGTAGAACGAACACCGAATGTAACAGACTGTCTGTTGTGTTACCCCAGAAAGCTATCCCATACTGTATGTGTGCATCAACCAGAGCGAAGTAAGCCGCCCTTGCTGCTTGTTTGCCAAGTTCCCGTGCAACTACTCTTATGACGTAACATCCTTTGGCTAGTTTTTTTGTGAGTTGGTCTATATGAATATCAAATTTCAGATGTGTATCAATGTGAATGCCTAAGAATTTTATTGTTGATTTGTTTTCAATGGTCTCCTCTCTTAGTTTTATGTCAGTCAAAGCACATTTAAAAGTAAGGATGTTTGTTTTTTTTATATTAAAACAGAGTTTGTTTGCTTCACACCATTGACTTATTAAAGAGAGATCTTTTTCTATGGTGGCACAGAAATTGATTAAAGACTTTGCACTCCACAAAACATTTGCATCGTCAGCAAAAGCAGTAACCACCGCCGAGATTGGCAAGGATAAGAGGTCGTTGATGTACAACAGGAACAGAACCGGTCCTAGGACAGAGCCCTGAGGAACCCCCCGACTGATCGTCTGAATCCCTGATGCACTCTCCCCAACACCAACGAACTGATCTCTCCCCGAGAGTAAAGATGAAAACCAAAATAATGGCGTATCGCGAATACCATAATGATCTAGCTTCCGCAGTAGTATCTCTTGATCAACACAATCAAAGGCTTTTGAAAGATCGCAGAACACCGCCGCAGCAACCTCCTGATCATTAAGGCTAAGGTAAAGTCTCTCTAAAAAGGAGAAGACAGCATCGTTAGTGCTTTTAGCACTTTGAAATCCGAACTGATTCCCATTAATTATATTGTGCGTGTTTAAATATTCTAAAAGTTGTTTTTTTACTATTTTTTCCATTAACTTAGACAGCGTACTCAACAGCGAAATAGGCCTGTAGTTTGACGGGTCGGTGTTATCGCCTCCCTTAAAAATGGGTATTACCATGGCCGTTTTAAGGCATGGAGGAAATATTCCAGTGCTAAATGACCTATTAATGCTTAAGGCTAGAACGTCAATGGCACTGTCTGGTAAATTTTGTAGGAGTTTTGAAGAGATATTATCTGTACCAGATGATTTTTGTTTTTTTATGGTCTGTATGTGTTTAATTTTATTACCATCGGTATTTTGAAATTTAAATGTTTCCGTGTGTTGAGCAGGTTCCAAATATGATAAGGGATCAATATGGGAGTTTAGATTTCTTGTTAATGTTGCAGCAATGGAAGTGTAAAATGTGTTAAGATCACTCGGATTAATATTAAGCTTATTCTTATGTTTTTGCTCAACGTTTCTGAATTCATTTATAATGTTCCAATACTCTCTGCCCTTGTTATCCGCATCATTAATTCTTTTTTTATAATAAATTTCTTTTGCCTTTTTTAATACGCTTCTGTAAATTGTACGGTACTTATTATAGTGTGCAATAATATTTTGACAAGTGGTAAACTTACATATTGTGTGGAGAGATCTTAGATTGCGCGCTGAAGTTTTTATACCTTTGGTTATCCATAGTTTCTTCTTATTTTTAACTTTAATTTTACGAAGAGGAAAGGTTTTATTAAATATCGTTTTTATTTTTGTTTGAAATGACTGAATTGGATCTGCTGCTGTTAGGCATTCATACCAGTTTTGTTGGTTGGCTGAAATTTTAAAGCTATTGTAATTTTTACTACTATGAACTCTACGTTTTACTTGCTCTTTTTTGGGTTTATCACAAGAAATAATTAGTTTAGCAACCAAAGCTTCGTGATCTGAAAGTCCTGAAGGTATAACGCTACAGCTAAGGTTTTTATCACACTCAAAATTGCTACAAAAATAATCTATAATTTTAGAAGAGTGTTGCGTGATTCTAGTTGGTTCATTCACAAAGACGGTTAAATTAAACGAATTTAATAAATTGACCAGTAGTTTCGTGTCTGATGAATTTTGGTCTTTATAATCAATGTTTAAGTCTCCCGCGATGACAATTTTGGCGTTATTGGGAAACCTGTTTAAAATACCTTCAAGACAATCTAGAAATACATTAGTTATTCCTGATGGGGACCTATATATACACATTACGTAAACATTTAACTTTTTAACATGTATGATGGAAAATTAAAACTGTTTCTCTAAGATAAAACTATTATAAAAGTCTATATTAGCAATTTCGTAGTTAGAAAGAACATTGTATTTATCATCTTTGGAGAATACAGCAAATTTTGATTTTTAAGCATCCATATTATGAGGTCTTTTTATTTGCAAATATCTAACGTTTATTTTTTTTTATCATTGCAGTATGTCTTCTACAAAATTCAACATTGGCCTTGCTGGAGACGAAAAAAGATCCACCAGAGTTCAAAAAATACAAAGCGGTGGACACTCTGATATTTTTGGCATCAATGAAAATCAACAATCTGCCGCCACGCCGCAAAAAAGACTCAATCAACCACAGTCAACTATTGGCAGTTGTTTCATGGAAAATGTGAGGGAAGAGCCTAACGTAATGCCTGAAGCTAAATTTAATGGGGATGTACCTTTAGCCAAGGTGGAAGTTGAGGAGGTAGATGTCGGTTCTGATGAAAACCAAATTCCCAAAGAAGTGAACGGGGTGGAGAAGAAGGATGAAGAAATCGCTAAGCGGGTCCGAGTACCTCCAGGCGGATTTTGTAGTCGGTTGTGGTAAAGATAGTACTTTTAAATAATACTATCAGTGGCCTTTCTTAACCACCTGCTTTTTTGTTTGTTATTATGCATTTTTTTTGTGTTTTTAGTATACAAAAGTATTGTCACCACTAGCAAAATTTTCCTACATTTTGAATAATAATAATAAGAAATTATTCATCCACATTTCAAAAAAGACTATTGAAAGAAATGTACTCAATATTTATAGCAATAAGGTCGATATTTTCGTGTGATGACTAATTTTGGCATTATTATTGTTCAGATTTGATTTTTTTGCTCTCTAGCATAATTGTTTAGCTTAAACCAAATATAATAATTTATTTTTTAACATTTTAGCTTAATATTAAAACTAAACATTATGTTGGTGGTAAAATCAGGCTTATATGCAGGTCGTGTCAAACAGATAAAAGTTTATACTTTTTGTGTGAAGGCTTTGCAAATCTCAGTAAATTTTTTGTTATAGACTCAAAAAAGCCGCTTCAATTTTTTTTTTCGGTTACATAAATGATTCACATGATCACTTGTAGATCATAAATTTCAAATTAATTTTTCTAAAGTCTAATGGGCCCCATACACTACGTTCTTTCTCATCGGGTTTCATCGCCGTGTTGAAACACGTTGTGCCAAAACCAAAGTGTGTGGTAGAAAAACACGACGGTTTTCTACCACACACTTCGGTTTTGGAACGACGTGTTTCATCGTGGCGGTGAAAACCGACGAGAAAGAATGATGTTAAAAATGTCGTTTTGATTGCCTTCACTCCGTTTGACAGTACTTATATAAAAAATGTAACATTTATAGAAAGAAATAATGTGCCTTTCGAACATTCTATTGTTTTAAATTTGGAACTGAAATATCTACCTCCAATCACTACTATAAAATGTAATAATTACTACAAGTTAATAAACTTAATGTTTGTAATCAGAAGTATCAAATCTGTTTGATGAAATAATATTAGACTTTTTGAATTTTTACCTCCCATATTACAATCTGTGTGTTAAAGGATCTAGTGATATTCATGAGGATATTTAGAATAATATTACATGTCACTTGAGTGCCATTGTCTATATGTATTCGAAATCATGTACTTTTCAGCTTTTCAATAAAATATTCCAAAAACATATTAATTTATTATTTTTCCATCTTTCTCAAAAATATATAAATTATAAGAACTAAGTCATCCACATTTGAGGAGAGACCATTAAAAAAAGTTTACTCAACAATGTTTATCTCAAATAAGGCAATGATTATTCAAAGTCATAGTGGGATCTAGAATTTGTATGATTACTTACTTTTGGTATTATTTCGGTCCAGTCCTTATAACATTGATAACTTATTAGACTTAATACATTTTTTGCTGTCATAGTGTGAAAATGCTTCTTAAGCAGTTAACTGATATTTAGAATAATTTTGCATAATGTAATATTATTAGGTTAATAATATGTCGCTTGGGTGCTGTATATTTGAAATTATCTTACATGAGAATATGTACTTTTCATTTTTTTAAGAAAATATTTCAAAAACGAAGGGTGGTAAGCATGGGCGCCGCCAGGATTAGTTTCAGGGAGGTGCATACGGGCAGTGGCGGCGCGTGGATTGTTATATTGGTTCAAATTACTAATTTAAGAAGGTGAATGCCCGACGCAGGAGCTGCCAGAGGCGCGAAAATTTTTCCCGGTGCCACGTTCAAAAACGGTTATTTTGAGATTTCAGAAAAATACTTTTTCTAGGTGATTAAGTAAATTAAATGATGTTTTCACCTCTGTGTTAAGTGGCACAGGCAGTGGCGGATTTAGGGACGAGTGGCCCTTAGGGCAAAATATATTTGGGGGCCCCTAGACCTAATAACCTATCCCTTGAGCATTGGCGCACTCAGAAAAAATGTTTGGAGAATGGGGGGATTCTTCAAAGGTTGTGGCTTGTGTATAAAAATCTAAATAAAAAATTGATGTGTTAGGGTGCCACGCCATGATGTCAAGTTTTTTTGTACGTTAAAATACAGTTTTCGACGGGCGGCCTAGGAGGGGCCCTGGACCGATGCCGCCATTGCCCCCTGAGTGCGCCACTGCCCTTGAGTGTCAGGTTAAAAGTAAGAAAATAAAAATGCGGCATGGAAATAGTGGTAATCAAATCACAATAATATATGGACTGTTGGGTCGGTCTGTGTTTCTCGGAATTCGGAATTAGGGTCGGATATATTCGGAATACTTCGGAAGCACGCTCAGAAACGAATATTATTAGGCATGGGCGGTATGGTAGATGATATTTTAGAAGATGTGAATTGAGTCCTTATGGAATGTAGCTTAATTAAAATGTTATTATACGGGGTGTCCTTAGATAAACTGACACATTTTGCAGGTAAATATCTCGAAAACGGGAAAAGATAACGAGATGCGGTTTGTTCTGGGAGAATAAGGATTTTTTAAGGTTTTTTTTAACATTATTGCCGAAACCTAAAATTTGGGGAAATTTGGTTTTACAGACATGCGATTTTCTGAATCAAAATGACTGCCTTATTTTTAATGAAACACCCTGTATATTTTGTCATCGTCAGAAAGCCTTTTCTACTTTACAAAAATGTATAGTTTTTTTCAATTATCTTGAACTTGCATCGTGAAAATTGCACTTTGTCGGAGGCAATACAATCGAATAATTAAAAAAAAAAAAATTAGAATTAATTTGTGTTTAATACTTTTATTGAGTAATTAGCGCATAGTTAACTAATAATAAAAGTATTAAACACAAATAAGTGCATATAAAACACAAATTAATTATTTTCATTTTTTTTGGCCAGTCGACGGTACGCTCTTCAACAAGGTGCAATTTTTACGATTCAATTTCATGATAATTGAAAAAAATTATACATTTTTGTGAAGTAGAGAAATCACGCTTTCCGAAGATGACAAAATATACCGGCTGTTTCATCAAGAATAAGGTATCAGTATGTTATTATTTCAAAAAAATCGAATATCCGTAAAACCAAATTTCAGGATTCGTCAATAGCATGAAAAAAAAACTTAAAAAAATCCTTATTCTTCCAGAACAAACCGCATCCCGTTATCTTTTCTCGTTTTCGAGATTTTCACCTGTAAAATGTGTCAGTTTACTTAAGGACACCCTGTATTTGTTTTGCATGTATGACATTTTTTTCTACATATTCGAAATTTTCCGCAGCATCGTGGGTCCCTTTTGAACCGTGGGCCTCTGGGCGGCGCACCGAACTGCCCGGTGATATGTTCGCCCCTGGGCACGGGCTTCTCGCAATTTGATACTTTTTTCGGGATATCAAATTGTAGAAGTTGAAGAAATTTATATCAATAAACTAGAATTTGAGTAATTCGAAATTCCCGCCATTCTACAGGTTGATGGCGCGCGAAATAAAAATAAAATAACCCGATCCGAGCCGGAAGTGAGCCGAGAAATGTCGCGGGGAACAAAGAGTGCGAGAGGGCCATCGTATCTCGTTTCGCCAATTTTTTCAAACAGTAACTATTAAAAAAATAATAATAATAATATTAAAATAATTTTTTCAATGTATTTCTGACAGGGGGGTGCAAGTGCACCCCCTTGCACCCTGCTGCCGGCGCCCATGGTGGTAAGCTATGTATAATATTCTACCGAGTTAGCCCTACTTGATTCAGAAAATTAAGTTTCAAAAATGTATTTTGTAAATGTGGGTAAAATGAAATGTAAAAAATTAATAAAATTATGAGAATCGTTCTTATTTTTTTTGAAAACTTCGTTGGTGTTTTTTTATTCTTATCTCGAATTTTCTTCCTATTTAGCCATTCGATTATTGATAAATTCCTGACATTCCTTTTTTAGAAGTAACATTTGTTATAAGAGTTGTTACTTTGTGTTAGCAGTAAATACACACATCAAAATAGTCTAGGGAACAATATAATTCCTGTACTTATCAGAAATTTTAGCTGATTTAATTTTTAAAATATTTAAACTAAATAAGTTTGCAAAAAAAAGCCGACATGGTAAATTTGAGATTTGTTCAATAAATAATACACACTTTATCTTTTTTAAAAAGTTGTTCTTTCCTAAAATTGAAAGACAGATATTTCTTGTTCCCTAGACTATTTTGATGAGTGTATTATTTTGGAATAACCTATAATGGAGAAACGAATCCCTGATATGCCACTGGTAGGTATCGGGTATACATGCCTTAAACTACATAGGTACATTTCTATCAAAAATAGGCATTTTAATTGCTAAAACTGTATTTTTTTTCAAAAATCAAGTTACGTTTTGCAAATTGGAATTAAGTTTTGAGATGTGAGTATGATATTCTATATAGAAATTGATTCAAATTGTTTATGTGTATAATAAGCCCTGCAGTCCTATAAGAATAAGTAAATTGTTTAAACTTAGGATTTCATAACTAATTTTTTTTCGAATTCCCGTTCATAATTGCGTGTTCTGCGAATTCACTTTGTGTTGTCAGCAAATGATAAGCCTATAGATCATTGATCATTGACTTTCTGCATTGTATGTACGAAGTTGATCATGCTTTAAAATATTGAGGTTGTGCATGAATAATATTTGTAGGTCAGTATTGTCTTCATTTGATTCCACTACCAAAAAAGTTCATCGACCCCTGTTTCCTGCGAGTGTTTGTTTTATAGGTCTCTAATTTTGCAAAAGTTTCAAATGTTTTACTACAGTATCATCCGTATTGGGAGGTTGAATGACGCCTACTTTTCTTTGTCATAAGTTTGATGCGCATTAATATGCGAGCTAGGACGTCGACTATTTACTACTTTTTCCTTAGGTATACTTAGATGTTTTTGTCCTTACTCAAATAGAATGCCTGTGCATTATTCAAGTTTATTGAAACAGTTTGATTACAAAACATACGAATCCGCAGTCTAGGATAACCTGTATCAACAAACATAAATATCAGATTCTTGAAGTATTTCAAACCAATAACACCTATTCATAATAGGTTTGTTCGGACTTAGTTCAGAACCAGTTCTGAAATGAACTGCGCTTGCGCATTTGTTCATATCGAACATTTATAAACAAATGCGCATGCGCAGTTCAATTCAGAACTGATTCTGAACTAAGTCCGAACAAACTTATAAATAACAAAATTTTGACAGAAAACAAAAAAGGATTCTAATGGCCGTTTCCACCAACTATTTTAGGGAAGCCTTAACGATAAGTATTCCCTAAGCTGACAGTTTTTCATGGAGAAATGTCAGTTTAGGGAATACTTATCGTTAGGGCTTCCCTAAAATAGTTGGTGGAAACGGCCATAAATTTCCACAATTTTGAAATTATGGAAGTTTTAGGATTTTGGAAAAATGTTCTCTTTCCTTTCAAAATTTGTAATGAATAGGTAGGTACCAGCCAAAAACCACTACACTCAGGCAGAAGGTAAAAACATAAGGAAACTGGAAACAGCGCGCATAATCTCAATGCTAGACGTCTGTGCATATTATACCTATTTATATGAACTTTTTGGCTTAAAATTAGTCTGAAAGTCCTGCTACAAAAAACGTAGCACCTGTATAATTATTCAAATTCGCTTTACACCACGTTTTTGGGCTCAAAGTGTTAGCCTTTATATCGAAAAGGGTCTAGAAGCAAAGATCTAGAAGATAGTCTTAGATATTAAACTAGTTTACTTCTAGTCCGGCCCCAATAAGATAGGTGGCGCTAGACTTTACTGTAGGATCACTGTACTGTACTGTGTACTGTAGACTGTAGGAGGTCAGGATGTTGTAAGATGGTAGTCTTGTACGTGTGTTTTGGATAAATAAAGTTAATTTACTGAACCCGAAAGTGTTTCATTGCAAAGACACATAACATAGACGATCAAGAGGGAACGAATTTATAAACTGTGGTTTGCCATTCTGTCAAGAAACCACTTTTTTGACAAAATATTTTCGAGTTTTTAAGATAATAGGTACATATATTTTTTTTTTTGTCAAAATTTGGGGGCACATATTAGAAGTCTGATATTCATCTCTATAGGCCAGTAACGGATATAAGAAGAACTTTTTGGGCTGTTAAAGGTTGAGTGGCATTTAAAAACCTTGACATTTCGGTCTCTTAAAACTCTGAGGGCTAGAAATTGTTATACGAGCTAGTATTTATTCCGGATTGC